GATTGTGATAAGAATTGTACGAGCCCCCAATAAAATGATTTAAAATAAATAAATAAAAATTTACCTTTGAGGCTTTCAGAAAAATCACACAACCATATTTTAGGGGAGGAAATCCACTAGGAAATGGAGGGCACGCTCTTCAAAGGAAAGCACAGCGGAACTCGTTATGTTTGCAAAACCCAATTTGTGGACCATTGCATGTGGGATGTGTGAACAAAGCACACTGGAGGGCATTTAGATGTTTTCAGTTGATGGTTAGTTGTGCTGCATGGGATGGCTTGGCTTGAAACAGCCAATCAGCGAAGTGTTAGGCAGGTAAGTGGACGGACTGGGTTGTGTGAGGTCGGCAGCTCTGCATCAGGGCTTCAGGAATTGCGTCTTCCAACCAGGAATGGCAGCAGGAGCTCCCTTCGGGCCGAGGAAAGATGCAGGCAGTGACCTGGCCCTCTTTCCTGCCTCTCGGTACGTGGGGGGTGGGGGACTATGAGGCCCACTGACAGGCATCTAGCCTTCTAGGGCCATGGTGGAGCCTTGAAGGGATGCTAGCTTATCGAGGGCCGTGCGGGCCGGGCTGTCTCTGGACCAGAGCAGCCCAGAGTCCCCTTTGGTATTTCTCTTGCCTCAGATGGGAGCCTAGCTTCTGGAGGCAGCCAGCACTGGCTCCCACTCAGGCTATGCCACACACGGATGCCACCTCGGACAGCTCCCCTTTTAGGGCCTTAGCTTCTTCTTCGTCGGCAAAGCAGAGCCACAACACAACCTCCCCAAAAGCTTGTTTTGGGGGTCAAATAGGAGGACACAGCAGCTGAGCACGCCATGGCTCAGGTGTTACTTCTAAGGGAGCTGGAAGAAAGATCCCCTAGAGAGGCAGGTGGAGCCCCCTCAAAAGCAACACCAGGAGGCTGCTGTGGACCCCACAGACCTCGCAGTGCTCAGGCTGGGTGGGAGGGAGGGAGAACCTTACCCTTAAGTCTGCCTTTGGGAACGGGATGGGCGGAAGTAGGAAGTGAGGGGTGAGTGGGGGTGGAGACCCAGGTGGGGCAGAGTGAGAAGCCAGGGCACAGGCTGGGCCCAAATACCGCTCCTTGGACCTGCTGCCCAGCTTCCAGGGGGGTTTGCCCCTCTTGCTGGGAGTAGACCCATGTAAAAGGAGCCCTGGGTCACCGTGGTTCCACATGGGCTGCTCACCTCAAGGCCAGCAGTTCAAATCCACCAGCTGCTCCTTAGAAGAAAGGGGATGCTTTTCAATCCTTAAGCTTTACACTTTTGGACACCCGAGGGAGCAGTCGTATATACTCTGTCCTGTCGGGTGGCGCGGAGTCAGAATTGACTCCATGACACTGGTTGGTTTGTTGTCTACGGTGGTGAGTTTGGTTTTGCTTATTACTGTTTGGGCCTTTAGAGTTGAAGAGGACTTGGACCAGATCCTGAACCTGGGCGCTGACCCCAAACCCAAGCCCCTACCCAAGCCCAAGCCCAAGCCTAAGCCACCAGTGGCAGCTAAACCCGCGTTACCCAGAAAACCAGCTGTCCCCCCCAAAGTGGGCCCATCGGAAGCCGTGGCCGGGCAGTGGAAGCAGCAGCAGCAGCGGATCCAAGCCATGGATGAGATGGACATCTTGCAATACATCCAGGACCATAATGCACCTGGCGAGGCCACGCCCAGCCTCTTCTGACCCTGTGTGCCCCCCTGCTGGGCCTCTGGCCATACACGTCTCCTGTGCAGGGGGGGTATGAGTGAGTTGGGACAAGGGGGAGGCTGAGCCCTAGGATCCCTGTACCACCTGTTCCTTTGTCTCCTGGTCTGCAGGGTGTGGGGCGTGAAGGCCACTGGAGGAAGTGGCCGTCCAGGAAGGGGAGTAGTCTGAACCATGGAGTGAGAGTGTGGGGTCTCAGGGATGCCTGCCCAAGGGCACTGACCCCTCTGCACAAGCCTCACTGTGGGCAACCCCAGAATGGGGAGGCGGGGAGGCCTGAGCCAGGAGCGTGAGCTTCTTCTGTGCCGGGTCACTCCACTGTGTTTAGGTGGCCGGAGGAGGCTGTGGATGGGACTCCCAGGATGGGAACCCTGAATGGGTACCTGGAAGAGCCCACCTAGGTGGCTGGAAGCTTCTGCTGGGTGATCTCTGCTTGCAGCTCTGGGCCTGCTGCTCTCCCATGAAGCAAGCTCAGAGAAGTCAGGTCCAGCCCCGCTCCTCTGGGTCTGGATAGCCCGCTGGGCCAGCTCCGCATGTGCCTCCCTTTTCCTTTCTCAGGATGACCAGGCCAGAATGTGGCCTCCTCGGGCCTTCGGGCAGAGCACTGGGATCCACCAGTGCATCCAGCCGTCACAGCCTCCAGAGCATTGCCCCGCCTGAGCTTGGGGACCTTCCAGGCCCTGGCTGTGCCCCGCACAGTGGGCCAGACCTCTGCTACACGTGGCAGGTAGTACAGACCCTCCTCTGGAGTCTGCACCTGCTCACCATCCTCTCACCAGTGGGCACCACCGGCCCTGGTAGAGTCAGTGCCTTAGACCCCCAGAACCCCTGCGAAATCTGCCATGCCTGAGTGGTGTTTAATGGAATGACTCAGACAAAGAATGTTACTTTGTGATGAAACCCTTCATGTGTAGAGCTGGATTGGAAACAAACCCCTGAGTTTGTCTTTTGGGGTTTGTTATAAAACAGAACTGTTGTGCCAAGGCCCCGCCCTGCGTGACAAGCAGAGGCATAGGAAGCGGCTTTGGTTATAGGACCCCAGACCCTTTCCTGATAGAAGCCATGCACCAACCCCAACAGAGCCACTCGTTGTCCTGGGCCACTTGTTTGCCGCCATCTGAGGACTTGGCCCCAGCCTTGTGAGTCCCAGCAGCGAATGTCACCTGCCTGGCACCTTCCTGTGTGCCTCCCAGTGGGGGGTGAGAGGTGATTCCAGAAGCTGAGGCAGAATTCCTCTTACCCAGTCCACCACCATGGGCCTTCAAACCTCCCCTCCCTCACCTGAGGACACACTCTTGCCCGGGGTCCGGCCCTTAGGACCTCCACTCATGATTGACTGCAGAAGACCCCTCAGCGAGGAATGGGGGATGCCCAACTGAACTCTTACTGGAAAGGCTACAAAGCTGTGCTGCCCAGCTCTCCCTCACCCGCCCGGAGATGCCAGCTCCCTGCACACCCCGCCTTGGCCTTCCCCCACCCTCTGGCTCACTTTGATCAATTCTCTGGGAGAAGGCTCACGTGTCACATAGGAACAGAAGGTGACCACGGGGTCCCTCTGGCTGGAGTCTCTGCAGAAGCTGGACTTGCCACTCTGACGTGGATTCACTGAGCGTAGCCCAGCCTCGCCCTCGGTGGCCGAGAGCTGCCGGACACCTCAGTAAGCTCTGTCCTTCCCAGATGAGAAGGCTATAGGTGCGGTTTGTCTCTCACCACAGGTCTGTCTCCTCCTGGCCAATCAGTGGCATCCGGGCATCCAATAAAGGCCATCTCAGTGATGCATTCCAGGGCTGGTTTGTGCCGTTCTTTTCTCAGTGTTGAGCTAATGGCGCTGGGTGAATAATTCTTTATAATTGTCTCAACCGGGGAGCTGCCCTTAAGGGGACCTGGGCCTGCCAAAACTGCCCCAACTTCTCACGTGGGCTCTCAGTTGAATGGGGTGAAGGAGGGGAAGAGCGTCCGTCATTTCTTCCCCACTGTGTAAACTGAGGCAGAGGGGCCAGAGGCCCAGGCTTCAATCGAGGTCATTCCTCAGGTCAGGAACAGAGGGAGCACCCAGCGGAGCCTTGTGTAGGAGGACCCCTCCCCTTCTCTTGACCATACCACCCATTCTTGGTAAGTAGGAACAAGTCCCTGCCCGGACTGCCCTGGGGCCCTCTCAGCTCTGGCCCCAGATCAGAATCTGTAGCCCTGCCCATATAGACTCATCCCCAATCCCCGCAGAGAAACCCTGCCCAGGTCTCCTGGCCTCGAACGCCCGCTGGTGCTCAGCTTCTGAGGATCAGCTTTCCTCCCCAGGATCCAGAAGTTCGAAGCCAAACAATTCTGCACATTGTCCGCCACCACTGCAGGGCTGGAAGGAAACCAGGGAAGCTGCCCCGCCTCGCCCCAATGGGATAGGGAGTAGAGAGGGTTTTCTGTAATCCTCACGGAAGAAGACCACCAGGGCTCTTCTTCGAAGGTCCTGTTGGGTAGGTTGCAACCCCAACCTTTAGGTTAGCTGTCAGGCTTAGCCATTTGCACCCTAACAACAACAAAACTCTACCCTGGAGTCAATTCTGACTGATAGCGACCTTAGAGGGCAGAGTAGAACGGCCCCTGTTGGTTTCTGAGATTGTAACTCGATGGGCATAGAAAGCCTCCTCTCTCAGGTGGTTTCAAACTGCTGACCTCATGGATCGCAGCCCAAGGCATAACCATTATACCACCTGAGCTCCCGGGGTACTATAAAGTCTCCCTGCTTAAGGGACTTTCCGTCGTCTGGGGCTTTGAGCTCGGCACTGTGGAGCTCCTCTCCAGGGTGAGTGGAGCACTGAGAAGAGGCAGGCCCCTGGATGGCTGGTCAAAAGGCACTGCCAACTTCCGCTCAGCCGTCTCCACCCAGGCCAGGGCCTTTCCCGCCTGCTGTTCCCTGTGCTACAGCATCGCGTGGTGGTGGTGGTAGTGGGGGCGGGAGGGTGGGGGGGGCTGTCCCTGGTCTCAAGGCCGCCTAGGGTGCACTGTGCTCTACAAATAACTTCCACTCACCCACGGCGGACCTCCACTCTTCTCGGCTCTGGCCACTGGTGAGAGCCCTGGGATCTCTTTGCTCAGGCTTTGCGCAGTGACGAGGCAGCTCCTGCGGCAGGGATCCCAGGCTCAGCACGAGGTCCCAGTAAGCAGGGACCCCTCCTGACAAGTTCCCATGCGGCTCTACCAACGCAGCACAAAGCAGCAGCCGTGGAATGGCTTTTTCAGCAAAGCTGGGCTCGCTACTGCCAACCTAGTGAGCCGCTCACACCGTCTGCTGCCTCCGTGTGCACCTCCTTCAACACCATCAAGCACTTAATGGTGCTTACAAGCACCGACTGCAGGCAGGCACCGTGGACATGCCGAAGACAGGAAAGACCAGGTAAGTGAGCAGGGGGACAAGCAGGTCAGCCCTTCCAGTTGGGAAGGTCTCTGTTGTATTGGGCGCCAGTGGACTTTTGGCGAGGAAGCGAACACAAGCTTTGGGAGCACGCGGTGCAGGAGAGAGTGCTGTGATACGGAGCTCCGGTGCTCAGGACGCACCTGGGAGAGCGAGGCCGGGCCGGCACAGCGTGTGAACATTTCCTGAGCGCCTGTCGGTGTGGGTGTGCCCTGCCTGGTTCAGGTAGAAGCACGGAAGGATGGCAGGAGCAGGCAGAGCCTGTCCTTGGGGCCTCTCGGCCAAACAGCCATGCCAGGAAAGGAGGTGCGTGCCTCCGCCTGCCCTTGCTGTGCCTTCCACCCTTCCCTCTCCGCTGCAGTTTGCCTGAGCCGGCCATGTGGTCATTAAGAGCCTGCTTCTTTCCAGGAGAGCAGGAGGGAAGCCTTCCACGTTCCTTGGAGTTGGGCAGAGTGCTGGGATCTCATTAAAGACACTTTCTGAGTCCCTGGTAGGGTGCCGTTTGACCTTGTTATCACGTGTGGGGTGGCAGCCTGGGATCAGTGTGGCACGAGGTAGCCATACTTTGTTGGTGACCGAAGGGGTGGGCAAGGTGCACGGAGAATGTGCCTTGGGGAGACTCAGGACCGTGCCCACCTGACTAAGGGATGGCTTGACTGCCTGGACAATTGTACCCTGCCTTGTGGGCACTTGCCACCCCCTTCCCCAAGAGCAGTTTAATCCCTGTTGGGCCCTTGGCTCCCAGGTGTAAGTGCCCCATCCTGAATGAAGGGGGTCAGAGCACAGACCCGAAACCCATCTGTAGACAATGGGACATCCCCCACAGAGGGGTCACAAGGAAGGGATGAGTCAACCAGGGCACAGTATAGCACCAATGAAACACACAATACTCCTCTGGTTCCTTGAGGTTTCCTCACTCCCCACTATCATGACCCCAGTCCTGCCTTTGACTGCAGGCTAGACAGGAGCATGTACACAGGTACAGATAAGAGCTCAGGACACACGGAATCCTGCTCAGACAAACCCCTCAGGAACAGAAATAGGAGTAACAGGAGGGTAGAGAGAAGGTGGGGACAACAGGGAAGGAAGGAGGAGCCAATGATCGACACATAACCACACACACCCTCCCCCCTTCAGGGGGATGAACAACAGAAACCATGGGGGAAGGGACACAGCAGTTGAAAATAATAATAATTTATCAAAGAGTCACAAGGGTGGGGCAGGGGGTGGGAGGGGGGAAGAGTTGCCGATACCAAGGGCTCAGTAGAAAGTAAATGTCTAGAAAATGATGTTGGCAACATATGTACAATATGCTTGATACAATTGATGTATGGATTTAAGGGCCCCCAGTAAAATGATCCTTTAATAGAAAACAAAACAACCTGTGACCCATAGGCCATGTTCCAGCATTCCCTGTAACCCTCACCCTGTCTGAAGAGAGGACATGTTGGGGAGGGGGCTTGGGGGAGACATACGCAGACCCCTACCTTGTGCCCAACTACAGAGTTCACATATATGCAGCCAACACCAGACTTGTGAAAACCTCTAACCCAAAGGGGTGGGTGGTCGGTGCCATCGCACTGGGTTCCACTCAGAGCGACCCCATGACTTACAGGTTGAATTGTGCCTGCCCACCCCCAAATCTGTGTTGTAGACCCTAACTTCTCTGCCTGTGGCTACAGTCCCCTTTGAGAATGGGCTGTTTTTATTGTTACTGAGACAGGATCCATGAGTGGTACCCTTTTCAGTCAGTGTCCGGAGACATAGAAAAAGACCAGTATCGTGTACATGATAAACCTCCTGTGTGAATAGTTCAGCGGTCTATCAATTTGTTACTCAGTTGTCTGCACTGTCATGAAAGGAATTCTGGGAGCGCAGTGGTTAATGTGATTGGGTGCGAGCCCAAAAAATCAGCAGTTCAAATCTACCAGCAGGTCCACGGGAGCATGGTGTGACACTCAGCTTTTGTCACGACTCACAGCCTTGGGAGCCCCCACGAGGGCAGTTTGCTCTGTCCTGTGGGGTCCCTGTGAGTCAGAACTCACCTCACAGCAGTGGGTTCTGTGCAGGGTTTACAGGGAAACTCCCTGCCCCGCCCTGCGGCTGTCTGCTTGGGTAAAGATCACAGTCAAGTGAACCCTGTGGGGCTGGTCTGCTGGTGCTGAGCTGGAATCTGTGAGAGAAGCCAGCCCCTCACACCATCACGGATTCAGTAAGTGCAATTGTAAGGTTAAAACATATATAAAGATTATAATAAAGCCATAGAGAATAGGAGAGAGAGTAACATAAAGAAGTCAGGCACATTTCATGGTAGCATGCTCACCTCAGCACCTCTTGGTGGTAACGGGTGGAGGTGGGAGACGAGGGGGCAGGAGAGAGTGAGAAAGGTTTATTACTAACCAAGCCTGCAAGCCCCCTGATTATTGGTAAAGACATACGTCACAGGAAGGGGTTGTACTATAGGTAATACAGTAATGAGAGGGGGACGATCTAGGGATATACATGCAATAGGAAGGGGAGGGATTAGAGTATACATATGACAAGAAGGGGGACCCTAGACTCATTATGGCAGCCTAACCTGGGTCACCCTTGAGTGGGCTTGACATCCCTGGGCTCTCTTTCAAGGAAAAGGGAGTGGGTCCTACTTAGGGTGGGACAGACTATACGGTCTGATTGCTCTAGATGGCTGATAACCCCCAGGAGAGAATAACCTTTGACCTGCTTTCATTGACCTCCAAGTGTATAGTCATTCGCCATGTGTAGCAAGCAGCTAAGTTTGGCATATATTTGGGGGAGACAACTTGGGAGAAATCTTTCTGTATCCTGCAGGAATCTACTGACTGGCCCCCTTCAACAACTGCATGGCACTATAAGGGCTTCCCAATGTTCCTCTAGATCTCAGAGTGAGGGGTGGATGGGGGAGGAAAAGGAGGGGCTTGGCACTTTCTATGCACTTCTCAGCTTCTCTGAGCAGCACTGGGCTCAGCCTGGCCTGCTTCTGCCTCCTTACCCTGCATTGAGGATCATGGGTCACACACACACACACACACACACACACACACACACACACACACACACCACCTTTTTAGAACCACAAAGGAGCCTGGTGTCTGGGGGTCTCGGGTGTGCCGCCAGGGTTCTGGGTCTAGGTGGGCAGTGAGGGACACAGGAGGAAGTCTGGAGGGTCCACGTTCTGCCCAGCTCTGAGCAGCTGGGTGGTATGCTGCTGACATGATCCTCTCTTGGGGAAGTCCCAACGAGGGTTGCTAACAGCATTGGCTGGGCTGTGGCCAGCCGGGAACTCCTCATATCATAGCACCGCCCCGTGCCCTGGACAATGTACAGTTTCCCCAGCTCCATGGTGACGAGAAAA